CATTTTTGACCTTGAAGAAGGGTACCGAATAAATTTGAAGTTTAATAATCATCATTTTCACGCTGGCTCTCTTTTTACGATTATTCAACTAAATAGCATTTTCTTTATTCAAAATCTGTTGATGAAATTGGTTATTGCCATTGTTATCCCTTGTAACATGTGCCAGTACAATGGAAGGACGGTGTGGCAAATCAATCTGTTTCCATCCAATCAAATATTCGCCATCGAGCAATATAAATGTCAATAAAATAATTAATGCTACTTATTATGACTGAAAATTAACTTTAAAAAACAGAAATTGTGATAGACTATTTCAAAATACAAAAATTAAATCAGATACTTTCATCACCCACCTTTCACTTTCATTGATGCATAGAAAAGGGGAGATAACCCGGAAACATAGTGACTAAGTACCGACACTGTATGGGTGGATAACAAAATTCCGACTTTACTCAATCATCAGTTTCACGCAAAATGAGAGGCGAATGATGACATTAATAACAGGGTAGAGCTTTGATAACGACGCATATTGTGAGACGAGCTCAAATATGCGGTATTATTTCTAAGTATTTCTTCACTTTTGAAGTGAGTAGCGGCATTTCTATGCATGTCCGATTTCGCTGCCGTATATTAACTAAATAATTTTAAAAATGATTTGAAGATAAAAGAGCATCGATGTTCACTGAAAACAATCACTGAAGCCATCCAAAAATTAAGGACCACAATAGGTGAGAACAGCTGGGTAACTAATTACTGTATATACACAGCCACAGGCGATAATTGGTGATTAGAGGTGTAGAAGACTACACGCTATAATTACCATATGCATACATGTATTTAAATTAGTTTTTGATAAATTTTTGATAAAAATAAGTACTTTGAAATAAGTAAAAATACACATCCGAGTAACCGAGTACCATTTTTAGTATTCGATACTCGGACGTTCGATCGAGTACCCGGTTAACCGGGTACTCGTTGACATCCCTAATCATTATACATCACGACCCAACGGTAGAAAATGTTTGCGAACGTGGTTATAGCATAACGATCACAGACATTTCAAAACAAGATAGTTGAAAGCCCTATAAACTTATTTTTTAATAGCCAGTCTCTGCTAAAAATCTAACTGACATACCGAGGTATAAAAAAATTTCTGTTTTTTATTTCATACTGCTGGTATGTTCAGTCGGATTAAAGTGATCCTAAGACATAAATACCGCGCATTCTGAACATCTAAGAAATCATTACACTTACAGTATAAAAAATATTCAAATGTAAATGCTTGTGATTGCAAATTATTTCTTTGCGTCTCCACTTTTATTCTTTAACGCAAGTGTTCAAATATTATTTCCGGAATATATCCCCCACAATTAATTTTTTTTTGGGGTGGGGGGGGGGGGTGGGGGGGGTGGGTAGGGTTTTGCTGTGAGTTTATTCTGGGAATTATTATTCAAAAACCGGTCTCCCTGCAACACTTTGTGTTGCAGTATAGTTGAATCCATTCCATATAATTTATATTTTGTTATTATAAAGTTAAATTTTTGTCACACCCAAACCGCAAGTAATTCCGTAAAATCCATTAAGGCAACGAAAGTTAAACTTGATTTGTCGGTACACTCACATATTAAAAAAAACAGCTTAATATCTGCTATTTTTAAGGGAAAAAGTGCGGAAAACTAAGTGGGACGACTGACAAACAGAGGAACATACATATTGACAGACGGACAGAATCCCCTCCAAATTCACTAGGGGACTAATGACACATTTATGGAGCATTCTGATTGAAACATGGTACCAATAGCGCCAGTTATTAGCAGACCTATTTTTGTATACATATGAAGCAGAATTTATTCAAAATCTTAAGCATGAGAAAAAGAAAACTCTTGTCGTGGCCTTCAACTCCACATTTATATATATCGACGACGTATTATCAATTAACAATAGTTATTTCCATTCATATGTCCTTACGATATATCCCAGTGAGCTTGAAATAAAAGATAATACAGAGTTTACACATCTATTTCATATTTGGATATTTTACTAGAAATAAAAGATAATACAGTCTTGCACATCTATTTCATATTTGGATATTTTACTAGAAAAAGACGTTAATGGTAATCTAACAACAAAGCTTTATGACAAACGTGATGACTTTAACTTTTCAATATATCCTCATCACTGCATATGAAGTTTATATCTCTCAGATGATTCGATACGCAAGAGCATGCTCTACGTATGAACAATTTCTAAAATGAGGTAAGCTATTGACAAACAAGTTGATGAAACAAGAATATCAACAGTCTGGTTTAAGGTCATCATTTCTTAAGTTCTATGGTCGATACAATGACCTTGTCAGCAAATACAACCTATCACTAAGTCAAATACTGACTGACGTTTTTCATATTAATTGTTAGACCATTATTTACACACTGAATTATCGAGGGAATTTCCCGTCATTTCCCGATCATGACAAGGAGCACACGGCAGGTGATGTTTTAGAGGTCCGTGTTTCCTCTGCTCCTGATTTGTATTGTTTGTATTGTTTGAATGGACTTTTGAGCTTGATTACTGTTCGATATCTCCATACATTTCATCCATTAAAATTACCTAAAACAATTAAACCTTTACTAATCACAGACTTGTACTTTAAAACTCTTTATTGAATAAAACAATTTAATAATGACCATATTATATAATCCACGTATAAAAGAATACAAATGCAAGTGTCACATAAATCAATAACACACAGCCCCGTCCAACTGAAATTGTTTGGATGTGTATCCCCTCAATCAAAATTTCTTAATTCCTACGGGCCTGTATATGTAAGTTCCAAATCCCAGGATCAAGATGCAGTCTTAGACTGAAGTCAAACTTCTATCAATCATAAAATGAATATTTATTATACTGACATTTGAAAATTAAAATTTTAAAACATAAAAAGGAAGCAATTAAGTCAATGTACAAATTTTAACTGCTTTATTATCCTGGGAGCCAGATATTACTTATAACTCATTCAAAATTTATTTGATTTTAAATTTATTTTGCAAAGTTCAATTTTCCGCTAGAATATCATATTTTCTGTAATCAAGCACTGCTAATTCTAGTTTCCATACGTGTGCAATTTTTAAATAGCTAACGCAATTCGAGATGTTTGATTTAGGGATCAACAAAAATTCGAAGTATTTACGAGATTTTTAAGGTTTGGACAAGACCTGCCCCCGAAATTAAAAAAAAAAAATAAAAAATCGAACATTGGTTCTGTAGCCACCCTACATTTGTGAGACGTTTTAGTTTCTTTCAGTACATTTTGATGATTTTTCCCCCAGAAATTAAGTTTTACAAACTTACATGAAATAGTTTAAATTCTTGAAGTACCCCCCCCCCCTTATCCGTCGATGAAACTCAACACACCTACTATTTATTATAGGCTAGCCGACCTGATGGGCCGGTTATAGATGTAATTACTGCTGTAACAATTGACGCCACTTTTCCTTCTTGAGAGCATTCACAACTGTTAAATTCTGAGTGACAATTGTTCTTTCTTTTCTCTACTTCATTAATAGCACGATTATTTTAGTAATAGTAAAAGCATGTTAGAGACACCTTCTTAGACATTTATGCAAACGCACCAGGATACTTTGAATACGCTTTGATGTTACAGCTGCATTTCATTATTTGCAAAGGCACAAATGCAATAGTGGATTTAATATGAATTAGTATTGCTTAATACATTTTATCAATAGCCTTTATTTTCTTCGCAAAGATACTTTTATGCAAATTCTATTCAATACTTTCTTTTCTCACACAGTCTTTTAAATAAAAAAAAAAACCATATTTAAACGTTTTTTTCTGAATACTCCCACTTCAAATTACATTGAAGTGCAATTAAATGTTATTTCCGAGCTTATAACCCCAGAAGAAATTATTTAAGATACACCACTATTTCAAATACTAAAAAATAGAGAAAGACAGCTAAAAATATTTTTAAAACTTTCCTTTTAAACTTGAAGCATGAAATTTGTCCTAAGACTTGTCTTAAACTTAACACAGTTTTGTGAATCTTATGATTGTCGTAAGCTAGACTTTAAGATGATCTTCAGGGGATGTTTACTCCTTTATTGCACCTGATCCCACCTCTGATGTTTTTAGAGGTCCGTGTTTGATCTGCTCCAACTTTGTGTTGTTTGAGTACTATTCGTTATCTCCATATTTTGTGTAGTATAAATGTGTATAAGGAAGTAAGTAGGATTGATTTCTACGGAGAAGTAAGTTCGATTAATATCTGTAGAAATGATACCTACAGAGAAATAAGGAGTGATATCTACAGAGAAGTATGTAAGATTGAAGTCTACAGAGAAGTAAGTAGGATTGATGTCTACAGAGAAGTAAGTAGGATTGATGTCTACAAAGAAGTAAGTAGAGATGATGTCTACAGAGAAGTAAGTAGAGATGATGGTCTAATGAGAAGTAAGTAGAGATGGTGGTCTAATGAGAAGTAAGTAGACGTGATGTCTACAAAGAAGTAAGAAGAAGTGTTCGTTATCTTCATATTTCATGATCTTACGATATGTCTTAACACGAATCTTTACGATAGTTTTGTGAAACACAGCCATTGACTAATATGTTACCTCAAAGGGATTCAGTCCAAATATCCAGCCTAGGCCGAATCTCAGACCCTTATGGTCATTACAGATATCATTTTCTATTTAATCATTTAATTCTTTAGTGCACAATAAAAATATCAACAAGTCAATAAATGTACAGAATTGTTCCTACATGTCTTGAACAAAAACTAAACTTGCAAAGCATAAGTTTTAATGCAAATTCAAAAAAATTTTGCCTTTTAAAACAATATCAGCCAAAAAAGAGCTCATAAAACAATTAATTTTCACCAAAAAAGTATTGTTAACCTCTCTCTCTCTCTCTCTCTCTCTCTCTCTTGTTCGCTGTTCAAGGATTCTAAATAAGTACGTAAATGAATAGAGATGTTTTCTTAAATATTTCCATACAGAATTTTTTTTTTCATTTAACCATTTTTGTTTTCTCGTTCTTACGCGTACAGATGCTCTACGTCATCCAACGAGTAAACGTTACCAGCACTACGCCCCTTTTTCTTCGGTCCGCCTTTCTGCGCGTATTTGTCGCTAGTTCCATTATCCGCCAAAACATCCGGGTTCTGTTTCATACCCTGAGTCACTTTTACTTTTCCATTGATCCTTATGTGCTTTATGAAGTCTAATGAACATATATATGTACATATTCCCAACACAATAAGAAGCCCCGATATGCCGATTATCCTAGCGCTGGTTCTCGGGTCTTCCTGTGATGTTAGAGATCTTTGATAAGATGACGTGCTTTTCCATTCAATTTTTATTCCGTTTTGAAGCTCTTTAAGGTCATCTAAGCTTGGCAATGTAAAATTGAAATCAGCCGGGTTTACGAATCTTATAGTTTGAATTTCTAGAAATAAAAAACAAATGTTACTCAAACATTGTATGGATATATACGCTTCACTTGAAGATAATAAAACAGTCATAATCAATTGTATCAGCAAATTAAAAAAATAACAGAACCAGTCTCTTGGACACTTAAGATTTTTTATTAGGGTGGATGAAAAGGGGATATCTGCCATAACAGTAAGAAAGAGATTATTTATATCCATGTTTGTATTTCTGCATATATATTTTAGAAAGTTGAAAACGTATTTCAAAAAAAAAAATGTAAGGAAAAGGTTTAAAGAAGAGGAGTTAGAAGATTTTGATTTTGATCTGGTGAAAAGATACGAATTTATGTTAAGGCTACCTGAAGCTTTACACTGCATTCAAAACACATACCATTACATTGCTAACTCTGTTTTATTTTGATTTGTAAACTATCTACGGGTATTTAAACAGGATGAAACTATGCCATTCTGTTTGGTAACTAATTGGTAGAGCCCATTCAGCCACCTTTCCAGACCTTTCAGTGATTCAATTTCACAATATAATCATTAGAGCCCCGCCCTAACACTAGAACCCCTGACCCAGGGGTAATGAAATTCACAATTTCGGAAGAGGTAACATTCCTCATCATAACTATGCATTTAGTTTGTTTGCATAATCCCATGCAGGAGCAGAGGAGAAGATTTTTAAAGAAATGTTTTTTCACTATATATTCAACAGAGCTCCACCCTAGCACCAGAACCCCTGACCCTGGGGTCATGAATTTCACAATTTTGAAAGAAGGCCCAATTATTATCACAATCATGCCAACAGTTTGACTGCTTGAAGTCCAGGAGTAAAGAAGATTTTTAAAGATTACATTAATTTTAGTTGTTTTTGGCCCCACCCCTCAGGCCCGAGGGGGGGGGGGGGGGGGCAGGGACCATGAAATTTTTTGTTCCCCATTACCTATAGATGCTATATGCTAAAATTGGTTGAAACTGGTTGAGCGGTTTCAGAGAAGAAGCTAAAAATGATCAAATGTTAACGCACATCGCACTACGCACGACGACGGACGAAAACAGATAGCTGAGTAAACGCAGGTGACCTAAAAATCTAAATGAAACGGGAATTATAAGTATTTGTAAATTTTTAATTTACGTTGACAAACTGCTAGTGATCCTGTCCAGCCACCGTTTTCATCACACATGCGCGTAGCGTTTCCGGAAGCTATGGCATATCCTGGATTGCAAACTGTTACTGCATAGTTTAAGTACTCCAATCCTTGATAATACACTCTTCCATCCGTAACATTGGCAAAATACGTACATTTCTTAACTAAAAAAATAATACACCAGTAAATAAAATGTTATTTCTAATAAATTTCACAATAATCATTGCCATAGTTATTGAAATTTGTCTTGACATTTTGACAATGAATATCAATTCACCATATCTTACTTTCACAGGAAGGTGCTGTATTACTCCAGTTGCCATGTTGTGTACATTCAACTCGCAGACTTCCGGTCACTAGTCCGTAACCTTGGTAACAAGTGTAGGTTTGGACGGATGTAAATTCCTGATTCCCAACGTCACTGTTAGCGTGATCCAAAACTGCATTCTGTGGTGTTCCAGGGTCGCCACAATTTAACTCTGAAGTGAAGGGAAAATGTAACTAAAGATGTTAATCTCCCAAGGGTACCTGAGAACCACAATCAAATGTAGCAAAAGAAATTATTTATTGATAAGTCAAGTTTAAATATATTGATAGCGGTATGTCCTTTGATGATAGAGATATTTGCTAGCATATATATTTAAAAATTGATCGTAACGTGGTTTCAAAAACATACATCAAGTACATTTAATAGACAAACTTCACAGATAAAAATGATTTCCAGACAATAGCTAACAAAGTGAGCACTTTTAATGTTGCCATGTTGATAACCTGCTGCTAAACGAAAAGAGCGCAAAGTTGATGTCGCTCAATAAACTTACTGCTACAGGTGAGTGGAGGTTGCCAGACTCCATTTGCTGTACATTCCCGATATGCCACTGTCCGGTATTTACCGGAGTTAGGGTGGTAGTAATTGTAGCCCGGATGGCATTGATACTTTACTTTGTCCTTATAAGCCGTACCAGAAAATTCCATGTCTGCGTTTGTACCACTTCCGGGAGAACCACACTGAACCTCTATGTTACAATGTAAACAGCGTCAAAGTTATGTATAAACAGGATATAGAAATTAGTGAAAATTTTGCAAAGAATCTGACATTCAAAACATTCATAATATTTTGTCACAAATTCACTGAAAAATTGTGTTTTGGGTTATCAACAAGAAATGAAGCAAAAGTGTACTGGGGAAATAGAAATGCCATCGAGAGATAATTTAGCAACAAATAGCAACCCTCGATCTCGAAAGAAGTAAGAATTTTTATGTTCTATTTGAATCATAAGAAGAATGTACTTTTGCAGTTGAGAGCTGTTCCGTTCCAGAAACCAGTGGTTTGACAAAGTATGGCCGTGTCTCCAGAGTCGTATTCATGTCCAGTGTTACAAGAGAACGTGGCTACCACCCCATACGTATTACCGAAGTTTGTCTGATAAGCGTTAACAGGTGGCGGGTTTGGGCTACCACAGCTCACTGTCAGAAAAATAGTTAGAAGGTTAACATAGATTGTTTCTTCTTGTTTGTGAATTAGTCCAGCAATATGTTTGATATATTTGTATATAACCAATAAGCAGCTATAGTTTTGGGGATTGAGAATCAAGAATACTAACATCACAGGATAAAACTACATGACTTGTATGCCATTCAGTTAACTGAAAGTTTACTGAAAGGTGTCTATATATACATATACAAGGCAGAGCTTTGTCATTCAGTTAACTGAAAGGTAACGGAAAATTTACTGAAAGGTGACTAATTGGCAGAGTTCTGCCATTCAGTAACCTTTCCTGACCTTTCAGTGAACACTCAGTTAACCGAATGGTGACCGAATCGTGCAGTTTCTTCCTGTGATTACTGTTTCTAAAGTAATCACTTTGTGAGTCGGGTAAACTAAGTTGTTCTGTCTTTTAATTGCACATAAACTCAGACTCACTGGAGAACAAAACTGGTTGTTACATGTTGACATGTAATCATTATATTATTAGAAAGAAACATGGAATGAATTTGAGGTTATTTAGTAATGGAAAAATTTGGGTGACAAAAAATCACTTTGTGAATCGGGTAACTTACAGGCGCATTCCAAAGATGTTCCACTCCATGTTGCATTAGCTTGGCAGGTTCTCACAGTGTCCCCAGAGAGAATATCGTGACCAGGGTTACACACGTAAGTAACGTTCTCCCCGAACCATTTATTGTATGTTCCGTTATAGTTCCCGAGAATGGCAGGCTCCGCATCCGGACAAGGAATTGCTAAACGATGAAAATATAACAATTTAATTAACTTTCATATCAGTGTTAACTCATCTTACTCAAAATCGACTGATGAAGTTTTAGTTAAGCAAACACCACCAAAGTTCAGACGACATCAAATTATTTCCAATTTTTGGTTAAATATTTGATAGTAAGATTCAGAATATTACACTGGCATGGTTCATTATGTGGAATCTGAAAAAGTCTGCAAGTTTTTTTTTTTTTGTTTTTTTTTTTGTTTGATACATGAGAGGTATTATTAAGAGGTACATAAAAACTTAACGATAACTCCATGAACTCTGTTAAGTAATTTGGATGAATCAAAGTCCTGGAGTTCTATAGATTTTACATACGGGTACAGGTGAAGGGCGTTCCACTCCATGTGGCGTCGGCCTGGCATGATCTGTTTTGGGAACCTGAACTATATTCGTACCCCTTCATACAAGAAAACGTGGCCCATTCCATATACTTGTAGGTTTTATCTTCATATTCAGCCATTATTGCGTCAACTCCAAATATAAACACAGGACAAGCCACAGCTGGAACAAATAAAACACGTGTCACAACCACTCCAATTATTCATCATAAGTCCAACCGTTATGACTTATCATAACAAAGAGTATAACATTGCAGCATATCAAACAGTCCATTTTCTGCAAAATACTTCTAGAAAGAATTTCAGGGGAAATATATTTAGTTAAAGTAAAATATTATATCTGTGCACACAAATGTCGTCTTATAGCAAAAGACCATTGAAATGTAATCCATTTGACCAATTTATTGCTTGAAACAAAGAATTTATCCTATATTTGCTCTTCTTTGCAGTGTTTATGGGTCTTTTTGTTTTCAGAAGTATCACAATGATACTCAAAGTTCCTTCTACACTAATTACCAATTACCCGGTAGATTGTGGAGTTTTATAGATAATCGATACTTGATATACATGATATACATGAAGTTTGTAAATTACCTGTACTATTTTATCTCAATACTTACGCACTGTACAGTACTGTCCCTCAAAACCTGTTCCTCCGCAGTCACAAAAAGGTCCAGCGGATGTACCAGCACACCCTTTCTCCCCACAGGGAGGTTCTATATACATAGATAACAATGTGTTTATATTCCAATATCATAATATCGAAGCATTTAACTAATACAAACTGTAAACGTTTGCAACATTTAGGATATTTCAATATAACACAGTAAGCAAGTACCGGTATAAGGAAATTTCCTTTATTTTCCAAAATTTCAAATTAACTTTTTTTTTTTATTGAAACAGATTAAAAATCATGCATTAAAATATTCACATCCTAGAGAAAAAAGAAAATTTTCAAAACCCTTTATGAAATTCTACCTTCTACATTTGCTTGGATGAATTTAACATATATATCGGGGGAGATGGAGCAGTCTGACACACCGTCCCGCGCATTATCTGACCATTTCCCGCCGACCAAGGTTCCGCAGCCGTTAGCGAGGGATGGTCTCCAAATGAACACGTAACTATCATCATACGCGAAGAATGAGGACCCATAATTCCCAGTCAAACCGGAACCATCTGTCATGGCTGTTCCCGACAAGGGAAACGACAGTCCGTAATTATTTACATCTCGAGAAGCTGCCTATAAATTAAGAAATACTGGTATATAAAAAAAGTATAAAAAGTAAAACAGAGGCATAAAAATCATGTATCATTTTTTAAATGATAAGAAAATAAATGATTTGTGTGTACTTACAGTTTTGTCAATATTTTTCACGTTTTAAAGTTCCTTACAGATCTATTGAACAAGGTTTCGAAATGTGAAATATGTAGACATTCCAATGTAGTCAAAATCATTGTCACCAGACTTAATATGTTATAGTATGTAAAACATTGTCGATAATTAAAGCAGTGGGGCTGTGTTCATTGGCCTTATGTTTACTGAACAGTTTTTTTTCTCAATTTTTTTGAATTACTAGTATTGAATTATACCAGAAACATTTAGAATGCATTTATGTCCTTTCTGTAAAGCATCGCAAAGTATTTACATTATTTTCGTATATATTTATATGAATTTTCACTTTTGTTTAATGGCCAGAGGAAGAAATCTATCTGGATACAGTAACTGTTGTTAGAAGACCTTGCTCTGTTATTTATTAACTTATCCCGCTTAACTTAAAGCTGCATATGGTGTTAACATCTCCCAACTTATTCGATAATCAAGAGCATGCTCCGAGTACGACCAATTTTTAAACCGAGGCACGTTATTGACAGACAAGCTGATGTTACAGGGATTTCCACAACCTCGTTTAAAGTCAGCATTTCATAAAAATTATGGTGGTTATAATGACCTTGTTAGCAAATATAACCTATCATTGGGTCGTATTTTGGCTTATTTCATATCAATTGTTATACTTTGTTTAATACTGATTTTCACCACAGAATGTTCTGCATACCTAATCAATATATAGTGCTCACGGCTGGAGTGACACCGGTTAAAAAGGGATGTTTACTTCTCCAAGGCACCTGATCCCACAATTCCAGGGGTCCGTGTTTTATGCCCTCCTCAAAGAATTGTATTGTTCATAGATTTTTTTGAGATCGATCACTGTTCGTTATCTTCACCTTTTTCATTAGTCAACAAAAACTAGAGGTATCGGGTTATTAAGGATCATAAGAGCGGCGCCTGGATAGAAGTCATATCACCAACGACCATTCTCAGCATTGTTTTGAAGCTAAATAGCCCGATACAGGAAATAGCAGACAACCAAAATGAACACCGTTAAATTGCTAAAAATGCAATAAAGAAGGCCACATTAAAGTAGCTTTCCCAAGTAGTTGAAGATCCTATAAGTGTAAACACGAGGAGTCAAAAGAGAGAAAGGATATAATCAGACCAGTACGAGGTAAACAGGTGCCAAATAGAGTTGAGGTTGATTCTCAGTTAACGATACATTTGTCTGCATAGATATACATCCAAGTTTTAAGCTGAAAACGGGAAACACTGAAATAGTCAAACATACATTTTGTATCATAGCCTTTCATAACCAGAACATACAAATGCTGACTGACGTTTTTCATACAAATTGTTAGGCCATTATTTACACACTGAATTGTCGACGGATTTTTCTGTTATTTCCCGATCATGACAAGGAGCACGCAGCGGGTGTGACCAGTCGGCAGGGGATGCTCACTCCTCCATGGCACCTGATCCCACCTCTGATGTTTGGAGGTCCGTGTTTGCTCTGCTCCTATTTTGTATTGTTTGATGGACTTTTGAGCCTGATACTGTTCGTTATCTTCATATATTTCATTCATACACTTAGAAATAAACTCCTCCAATACTTAGCCATCCATTCATTTATTCTCATCATTTCAAGAAAGAAAAGTGACTTTACGTCATTTCCGTCACCTTACCAGTTATGTGTCTGAAGTCCTGTCACAAATGTTTGATTGGCAAAAGGGAAAATTTTAGCTTATCCGAGTTGAATCTAACATTGAACTTATGCAGAAATTTTGTTACCAGCCAAAAATTATTTTCGGTTCTGAATTGTGTCAAGTACTATAGACATTGCCTTCATGGTAAAAAGCGTATAGTTCTCTCAGATCATATATCAGTAACATGACTCTTAATGTTTACCAAAATCCCAAAGAAAAAAAATTGGTATTTGAGTTGGAAATTCTGAGTACATACTAGTACAACCTGTAAATAAAACAACGACCAACCAGTATTAGTGAGTGACCAAGGATGTACATTAAGATGTTTATGGTCACCGTTGAACAGCCTGGTCATTGAAAATGACATTCTGAACGGACAGTTTGTAGAAGTAGGGTATAAAGAGTGCAAAAGAAACCATTCTAGTGACAGAGTTCTTGTTTGGTTGTTTATCGTCTACTATTTCCTGTAAGTTGAATTTGAAAAAAGAAGCTGGGGATACTCAACTGGGAAATATGAAGTATGAAATGGACGTTTCACATACTTTAATTCAACATACATTCTGATAAACGTGATAACTTTTCTATCGTCAACTTCTCTTACATGTATTTATGTAGCAATATATCATTATCACCTGCATATGGAGTTTATGTCTTCCAGTTGATTTCGATTATTAAGAACATGCTCTACATACGAACAATTTCTGAAACAAGGCAAGCTATTAACAATGAGGCAAGCTGTTGACAATAAGCTGATGAAACAAGGATATCAACACTTTAATTTAAGTCAGCACTTCGCAAATACTATGGTCAATACAATGACCCTGTCAACAAATACAATCTACAATGCTGACTGACGATTTTCATAGGAATTGTTTTTAACACACTGAATTGTCTACGGATTTTTCCGTTTACCCGATCATGACAAGGGGCACCGGGAGGGGAGTGATCGGTCGACAGGGGAAGCTTACTCCAACATGGCACCTGATACCACCTCTGATGTTTTTAGAGGTCTGAGTTTGATCTGTTCCAAATTTGTATTGTTTTAATGGACTTTTAAGCTTGATTCTGTTCATGTTTCATTAATCATGTGGTCATATGGTTCAGGAGGGAGGCGGTATACCCTAAAATATCGTGAATATGCCACGTGATAGTGTAGAATGGCAGGACAGAAGAAATTCAATTAATGTTACTGTAGTTACAGTGGACGTATAAAAATGAGTACCTACCTCTAAATATTTGCTACATTATTTATTCAACCACTTGGTTTCGGTTATTTTGTGCGTGTTGTCACTAAGTTGATTGCTATCTGTGCTTTTTTTTCTATAAATATCGCTTACATGGACCAAAAGTATAATGGATTGATTGGAGGGAGTGTATGTCAGCTGCTGAGAGGTTGGATTGGTAGTTCCAGGGTAGAGTACCGTCTTCAGCCCCGGATCATTTTCCAGTTCCATGAAACTCCACGAGTAGACCCTGACTGTTCCGTTAATGTACTCTATGTTACCAGCACTTCCCCATCCTACTCCATTAAATATTTTTCCTGTAAAGAAATTGATTCAAATTAACACAAACTTTTACAATCGATAACTATACCTTCCAGTGTCTTTCAGTAAGTTGTTAAAATTACAAAACTGTCCTCATAAAAACAAAATACAAATGAAGTTAAGAAATTTAATAAAAATAAATGTCAAAGAAGCTGCTCTACAGAGACAAAATGAAAGTAGAAACAAAAAAAATGTTATTTTATTCACGTACGAAAAATAATTTAGAATTTAATCATCTTTTGTATAAATTATCTGCAGGTCAGAACTTTCAATTATTTTCATTGGATACCCATACTGACCGTTGCTAGGTGTTCTGATGTATACTTTCTGTACATCGTACACATATTGCACCCCTCCAACGTTAGATCCGCCCGTGAAGGAAACCGTACCTAAAATTAGAATATAAATTGATAAAATAAATAAAGAATCATCTCTCTGGAATTTCGAGATAACGAACAGTCCATTTAATGCAATGCTAAAAGAGGTTTTCGAAATCGTAAAGTAGACCATGTGTACCTTGTGCGTCCATTATCCATCCATCATCAAAGAACACTTTGGCAAGGATTAGATCTGGAGATACACCAACCGATATCTTATAATAATTCTCTGTTCCAAAATAGAAATAATTTATGAATGTAATGTTACATAGCAAACCTTTCTTTGATGTATGGATATGTGAATAAATAATATATTCACAACCTCCACCAAGGTCCAAATTTGGAGTCCTTCCAATCTAAAACATCATGACATTGCTTCCTTTCTTTGAAAGTAAAAGTATAATTTACAGTTTATTCCGAAACAACTCAGTCTCCCTGCAGTTTTTTTTAAATAAATAAGTACCTGTATCTTTGTTACTGATTGGATAAGCAGCAGAAATAGTCGATGGTTTGGCGAATGTACATGTTTTCCAAGCGCGTACTTTTACTTCACCGGTAAGGATCACTCCACTTGATGTTGATGGTCCAGCAAAGCCGTTATCACCTAAAAGTAGGACCATAATCGTTTTATTCTCACTTAATTTGCATGCACACACAGACGCACGTGATGAGAGAGAGAGAGAGAGAGAGAGAGAGAGAGAGAGAGAGGACTTACCAAAGTATGCCACACCTCCAGGACAAGGTGATGTACAGGTACTTGGTCCTGGGGCCATTATTTTAACAGAGTTTGAATTATAAAGGTATATTATTCCCCCGAATGGCTTTGAAGGATCCGGGCCGGTTTGTCCAGAACCAGTGGCAAGAAATGTAATGTATCCGTGAACAGGATGGTTAACTCGCACCTGAACGTCAATTTTCATTGGCATCTCTCCCAGATTATGATGAATAAGTACCTCTGGGTTTGAATATGCCGTAATGGAATGCCAAGAACTGATAAAATCTGCTGGACTTAAGCCATACGTTGTCACAGCTTCAAAATAGACAAAACAAGGTTTTCATCAAACACAATTATGAAATATATAGCTACTTATAATAATTCGTTTTTTTTTTTTATTATCTTGAAAAATGAAAATCATGTTCATTTTAATATATACTTTATCCCGATTAAAAAAACTGTAATTATCCCGTAAACAATGACCATTCAAGATCAAGTTTAATTATGACACGAAAACAAACCAACACTTTCAATACAATTCTTGTTATGCCTTGTATTACTATATCGATTTTCAACAAAGAATTTGTCTTACTAACAAGAGGCAAAGAGTTATTATGTTATTAATACAAATACCCGTATACATGTATTTTGAAATCTTAACTTTTAACTTGTAAGTTTAAAATACTGTGCATTTTCGTAATAATTATGAAATTAAAATTATGTGTTTCGTCGTGAGTTAAAAAAATGTGAATACATGCTGTTATGAAACACACAAATGAAAATCAAATACTCATTTTTTTCTGAGTTGAGTTTATAGACCACCATGGATGCTTGTGTTTTTTTTTCAATGAAATATATATGTATCATTTAGTATTGTTTTATACGGGGATACTACATGTACAGTGATTCGAGTCATTGGCGGAAGGAAGAAAAGATATGTAAAATAATTTAGTTTTTAATTGCTGAAAAGTGAAAATTATATCCTTCTTCTTTTCATGACTGAATAAAGACTTCATACCAAAATATGTGCATTTTGTTAAGGTGACGATGTAAACAATTATAGCATGGAGTCAGGTATTCAAGAGCTCTTCTAATAAAAATGATACAAATTGTAATTGTTAATTTAGTAGACTTGATTACAAATTGTAATTGTTAATTTAGTAGACTTGATTACAACTTTTTTGTATAAAAATGGTTAAATTCTTAATAGAACTTTGTAGCACATTTAATGAATTTTATGTAAATGTGGCAAGTGAAATAGAGAAAGATGTTTTTGAGCGTAATCACTGTATTCAAGTGCTATCAGGGAAAATGTTGCTCCTACTCAGAAACTAATAAAGTGTATAAGCTGTTGAAAATAACTGAACCCATGGCGTGGTAAAATATCTGCTTAGGTTCTTAAAAGTTGAATACCCTTTTTGATAAAAATATTATATGTGGCAGCTATTTTGATGAACCTCTCTAAATTTTTTACTTCTGCCACTTAATTCTATATGGATGTGGCAGCTATTTTGATGGACCTCTTCAACGTTTCTGATGCCTGATACATGATATACTTTATTTAACTTAATGGATGTTGCAGATATTTTGATGGGCCTCTTTATAGTTTTGATCATGCCACATAATATACGTTAATTTAATGGATGTGGCAGATATTTTGATTGACCTCTCAGGGTTCTCCACATTTGAAAATTTAACCATGGAGGAAGCTGCGCAAAGGCTAAATGGGACCAAAAATATGAAAACGTGTTAGACTTCCTAACCTTCATTAATCAAAGATTTTACAATTTTTAAACTTAACCACTGCAACACCACCAAATAACCAACACTTTTAAAAGCTGAAAAAAATATAATTAAATTGAAATAAAAATGATTATTTATCTTACTTCACAAATGTACCAAAATTTGCCCAAAACTGTAGTTACCTTTTAAAGGAATTTAAAGAAGAACTCTTGATACAGTAACCATGGCAATTTTATTCAGAAACTAATAATTATAAGAATTGTTGTAGCCTGTTGTATGAAATGTTTGGTTTAAATATGACTAAATCTGATGAATGGGTAGTATTTCATTTCAGTTAACACACAAACGAACATTTGGACCAGTGTCCCTCTAAATGTTCTGTTTTTCTAGATATTGCATTTTTCGCCGAGTTTACTCCTTTGTTTACTTCTCCACGTGTCCCAGTGCTAAAAATAGCCCCACGCGACGTTTCATAAAAACGGTAAGTAACTCTAAAACTAAGATGGCGATAGACACTTATGTACATTTTATCACTCAGAAAGATAATATAGTTAAAACTTTAAAAACAGACCATGGGAAATTGATTATATACAGAGGAATATGAAATTTTGAAAGTATTTTTTATCTGGCACAGAAACTTGAAGCGCATGCATGACAATTATCATGCTTGTACTCGTAATTGTCATCTTTCATAAACCCGTTATCTATTAATCATGTAGTGAACATGTTGAAGTCCCTTAAATTATTTACATAATTTTATGTACAGGATAATTAACTCTCAAAATATGGACCATCAGCTGATTGACTCTCTATTGTCACGCTTCACAGCATAGTCGCCGATTAACGACAGTGTTTGTTTTAGCACGACCCGGCTTTCGATCGAGGAGGTGCATGGCAGTCATAGTATAAACACAATTAACTACTCAAGTCATTAAAAAGTAGGTGTCAGGACTGAAATGCAATAAAATTTAATCATGGCGGCTGCCGATTTTAACCATGGCGCAGCTCGTTTAACCATGGCGCACATAAATTTAACCATGGCGGGCCGCCATGGTAAAACCCCTTGTGGAGGACCCTGCCTCTTTAGAGTCTTTGACTCCTGTCAAAAGATTAATTTTATTTTGATGGACGTGGCAGCCATTTTGCTGAACCTCTTTAAAGTCTTTGAATCCTGTCACATGATAAACTTTAATTTAATGGACGAGGCAGCTATTTTGATGGACCTCTTCAGGGTTTTGGACTCCTGCCACATGATATACTACATGTATTAAGTAAGGTCAGAGCTGATGATATATCTCTGTCTTTGTTTTAGCTAGTTACTTGTCTAAGCGTCTTCAGCAAATGAAACTTTTAAACAACTGGTGTGCCACAAGTTCTACACTGAGATCATTACTTGTCAATGCATAATGGAGATAACGAACAGTATTCAGACTCAGAGTCCATTTAACCAATAAAAATACAAATACAATACAAATACATTTAACCAGTAGCAAACACTGATCTCCAATAACATCAGAGGTGGGATTAGGTGTCATGGAGAAGTGAGAATCCCCTGCCGACCGGTCACACCCGCAGTGTGCCCCTTGTCATGATCGGGAACAACGGACTAATTCGTCGACAATTCAGTGTGTAAATAATGGCCTAACAATTAGTATGAAAAAAGTCAGTCAGCATTTGACTTAATGATAGGTTGTTTTTGCTCACAAGGTCATTGTATCGACCAAAAAACTATGAAAATAATGACTTCAAATGAGATATTCTTGTTTCATCAAGTTGTTTGTCAATAGCTTGCCTCGTTTTAGAAATTGTTCTTCATGTATTAAGTTTCTTTTTTATTCCATAAAGAATGCTTTATTACTTTAACATTTCGTAACTATTTATAAAGGAAACAAAATCATCATGTTCCAGATCTTTATTCCGTTATATTTTGTAACTCTATATATATAGTGCTGCATGTTGTATTGTTTTAATGTGTTTATATTAGACTGTTTTGTATCTGCTATTATATGTCAGTTAGAAGAGGGTTCTCTTACAAAAAAGTACTATAGTTAACCATAGTTTACCCAGGGTTCTCCATCATTTGAAATTTTACTGTGTTGCAGACTTTACATGAATCACTAATATTCGCGGCATTTTCGCGATCAAATTTGCAACTGAACCACTATTCATTTTAATTAAAAAAGCATAATTATACACTATTTTTGTTAATCACTTATTCGTTACACAAATAGCATATTAATAAAAAAAAAATAAATTGATGGATATTTAAAACAATTAGAATGTATCCTTATAAAAATGTACAAACAATGTACTACATGTATAAGACAAACCAACTGTAACCCCCCTCCCCCACTCACACACACACACAACTTAAAAAATAAGTCGACACAGTAAAACAGCTCATGGAGAACCCTGGTTTACTAAAATGTACTATAGTTAAATACTTTGTAAATACTAATATATAAATAGTAAATACTTTGATACTTTGATTTATTTTGAAACTTTACTTTAGAACTTTTTCGAAATTTCAAAGCCCAAACTCTCTTAGATTCAATCATAATGATGTAAAATATAGAAATAATATGTAAATATACATGTAATATTTCTATTTTATATAAAAAATGTGCATGTATGAATTGGAAAACTCTAAAATCTAACAATCTGAAATCCATAGTAAAAATATTTTGATTGACTATGGTAAAAGCTTTGATTTACTGTAGTGAAAACTTTGATTCTATAGTAACTATAGTTAACTATAGAATTTTTTTGTCAGGGTATGTTGTATTTTACTGCCATTGTATTTATATATTAGTAATATTTAATATATTTCATATAGAGGTAAAATCATAACATATTTATATTCTTATCGAGGCATATCAATGTGATTCATTTCATTTTAAAATATAGTAAAATAAAAGACACATATTGAACAGTATTTAGTATTTTTACCGATGCAAACGAATGCCCAAGGGAACTTGGAACTTTAAGAAAGTTAAATAACAAAAATCTGAACTTTTTATATGAGAAAGGTGAAGATATCGAACGATGATTGATCTAAAATCTATAAACAATACAAACCTTAGAACAGAACATAAAAACGCATAGATAACTACTTCTTCGATAAAAAAATGGAACTAGAAAATTTTTGTACCCTATGATTGGTCATCAATAAAATTACTTTGTTAAAACTCAATTACTCTCGCGTTAATATTAAAAGGATGCTGGAGTTCCTCGTTGACTTTGGAGACCAGGTCTTTCGACGCAGACTTCTAACAGATAATTTGATGTTAAAGGATTAAAACAACCTCGTTTAAAATCAGCATTTCGTAAATTGTGATTTCGTTATAATGATTTTTTAGCAAATATAAACTAACATTAGGTCGTACTTTTACCGACACATTTATATATTAGTACTGTGCTTTGCATGTACCATGGCTAAATAGTAGTCAAGGTTTGACACGTGGTGCAGTGCATTATGTGTCAAACCCTGACTACTACTAGTATTTAGGCATGGTACATGCAAAGCACAACACTATTGTTATTATTATGCTAACTTTTTATGAAAACTACAA